GGCGCCGGACCGCGGGCGGCGGGCGTCCCGAGCCCCGAGGCGCGTCCGCTCAGGGGCTGCAAGGCGATCCGAGCGAGGGCTAGCCGGGGCCGCGGTGTCGGAGCGTCGCGCTGTGTCGTGGTCACACCTGGTCGGCGGGCGAGCGCGCGCTCGCAGGTGGCAGGTTCCGAGTCCCACGACCCGGGCTGGGGGGGCCGGTCCCGCCGGGTGGCCCGCCCCGCGCCCCAGGGCCGGGGGGCCGCGGCCCAACTAAGGCGCGGGGTCGAGATTCGGGGCGCGCCAGCCTCGCCTGGGTCTGCGAGCCTGTTCGGCCCCCTCAGCACTCTCGCTGGGCTGCCGCCACCCCACTCGGCTGTGTCCGTGGTGCTGCTCTTGCTGTTGGCAGATTCCGGGGAGCTCCGGTAGAAAAGTTAGTTTCTGTGGACAGAATCCTAGGATAGGTTCAGTGAAATGGCATGTGCACCCCGATCCATTTCTGTAAGGAGAGAAGTGTGCCAGGAAGGAGGTGGTCCAAAATCTGAGCAGAGTTTACCTTTGCTCATGCTTTCTTTTCAAAATTACCTGCAACAAAAATGCGTCATTTTTGTACGAAGAGAGAAATTCAAATGACAGATGGTTTTTTCACCTTGGCTTCAGAGACCCTATGTTATAAAAGGTTCTTAACTGAAGTTCCCCAGATGAAGGGGAATCGGGCACGTTTGTCCCTAGAGAAAATCTGAACGGCGGTGGGTGCTGCACAGGAAGAGCACTAAGCTCTGGGGAGACAGGGGGCGCACCTGGCGCCCGTGGGAACCCCCAAGGCGATTCTCTTCTCCTGAGGACTCACCTTTGGGTTTCTCTGGAAGGAGACCTTTCTGCTTGCCAGGAATTCAGTTTGGTGTGGCCCAGACTGGAACAACGCGGTTTGCACACAGTAAACCGAATTACTGCCTGATGTTTTCCTAGGCTGTAAAGCTGAGAAGCTCCAGGCCCCAGTGTGCTCTCTGCCCTGTGACCCTCTGCTGACGCCTCTCATTTTACAAAGGAGGCAGTCTGGCCCCACCTGCTTCTTTGGCTCACCTTCAATACTCTGTACACGCCCAGCTTGGACAGTGGCCCGAGGGGCAGGGGCGGGTGCCCAGCCCCCCCGGGGAGGAACGGCAGCCAGAGCTGAGAAGACTGCACACGTAGGCTGGTCACGGTGTCTCTGGGCCATGGGGCCGGGATAGCGGGCCCCTTTCATTGCAGCAAGGAGAATGTGTGCGGCCATCACCAGGCCTGACCCACAGGCCATGTGGTTCCCTGGGACAGGCACTAAGGAGAACGTGCTGTAGAGGGACCCATGAAGCAGGCCCCTGCAGACACGTCTACGCTGGTGGATGGTTTCTCACTATCCTGAGTCTTAAAGATGTACGAACCTTTTGACTTAATTAAGTTAATTAACTCAACAGTAATCGATGCTAAAGATATAAAGCTACATATGAGAAATGCCCTGTGCCTGCAGGTGTTCACCGTACCGTCATCTGAAATGGTGAGATTTGGAAGCAATGTGAATGGCCTAAAATAGGACATGTGTAAATGACCCTGTGTCCTTTCTGGGACAGTACCCGGGGGTCCCAGGTGCTTGGCAAGATCACGCAAGCACTTCACCCAAATGTGCCGTTTGTTGTCAACTCAGACACGGTGATAAGCGACAAGAGCAGGGTAGCTAAAGACATCGAGAACACGTCTAAAGCCGGCAGAGCGAAGCCGGGATGGAAGGTCCCAAACCCTCGCTGTGGCTGGGTGGGATGGTGGCTCTCTGGGGCCCTTCTCTGTTGTCTCTGAGCCTTTGAGGCAGCGGCAACTCTCTGACCTGCCGCTCTCCCGCCCCCGAGCATCCACAGCCATGCTGTGCAGTGATGCATTTGAGAACAGGCTCTCCACCTCAGGGCTGTGGACACTGGGGCTGCCTCCCCCCTGTGCGGGGCATCCCAGGCATTGCAGGATGCTGAGCAGCACCCCTGGCCTCCACCCACTGGTGCCAGGAGCATACCCCCCCCAGTGGTGACAGCCCCAAATGTCTCCAGACGTTGGCCCATGTGCCCTTTGTCCCCACGGAGAACTCTGTGTTAGAGGGTGCTGGGTGGCCTGCGCGGGGCCCGGGGCAGCGAGAGCACGGTGTTGACCCAGGCCTGCGCTCTCGCAGCAACTGAAGCAGCAGCGGGACAAGCTGAAGCAGTACCAGAAGAGGGTCACCCAGCAGCTGGAGCGGGAGCGCGAGATCGCCAGGCAGCTCCTGCGGGACGGGAAGAAGGAGTGAGTGGGGCCCAGGGCAGGCTGTGCAAAGGGGCTCCAGTCCCCCGTTGGCCTAGAGCAGGGGGTGGGGTAGGCCCAGGAGAGGCCGGTGCGTGCCGGGTAAGGCCAGCCAACGGGCACGGCTGGCGGGTCACCGTGCGGATTCTCTCTGCAGACGGGCCAAGCTGCTGCTCAAGAAGAAGCGGTACCGGGAGCAGCTTCTGGACAAGACAGAAAACCAAATCACCAGCCTGGAAACGATGGTAGGCGGAGCAGGCAGTGGGGGGAGAAGGAGTTGGGGGAGGCAGGCCCCTGACCACCTGGTCTGCTTTGGCATCCTCAGGTCCAGAGTATTGAGTTCACCCAGATTGAAATGAAGGTGGTCGAAGGGCTGCAGATTGGAAATGAGTGTCTGAAAAAGATGCATCAGGTGGGTCCTTGCAGGGCTGGGGGCAGAGAGGAAGGGGAGCTGGGTGAACGAGGGGGCGGGGCTTGTGCCCGAGGCCACACCTGTGCCTAGGCCATTGGCCAGGAGCTGTTGGTGCCAGCTGGGAATGTGGGAAAGCCAGTTGCTACCGAGAGAAGGTGATGCTGTTGGTGGTGGACAAACCCAGGGTATTGACCTGAGAGTGGGGTGATGGGCACAGACGTTCAAGTTACTGGAAGAAAAGTCCAGTGAGGGTGCAGGAACGGTGTGGTGAACTAATTGGGAGGGCTTCCTGGAGGAGGTGAACACAACCTTGTCATAGGATGAGGCATAGAGGTGGGTAGCAAAAGGAGGGGTGAGGCCCAGAGAGGCCGTGCCTCCGCCCAGCCCCATCTCCTGATGAGTGGACAGCAGGGGCTACACAGAGCGCCACAGCCACCCAGCTTCTCTGACCTCCGTCCGTCTCTGACCACCTCTGACCAGGTGCTGTACCTGCCAGGCAAGCAGAGGCACTTCTTTGAACCCAAACGAAATCAAGTGAGCTGCCCAGAGAAAGTTTTTGACACCTTCTTACTTATTTCTTTCTTTTTTTTTTTTTTGTTTTAAATTTTTTATTTATTTGACAGAGAGAGAGACAGCGAGAGCAGGAACACAAGCAGGGGGAGTGGGAGAGGGAGAAGCAGGCTTCCCGCGGAGCAGGGA